AGATATTATTAGCATTAATGGTCCATACACCATCCCATTATCATGAAGCAACTTAAAATAAACTAAATGAACTTTGATTATTGACTACGATCCAATATGATCCAATATCGATATATAGTTTGATCAATCATACTAAATTTGCGTGTAAGGGATAAAAGTTGATCCCCCATACGTAGTTCAAATGCAAGGCCACCATGCATTTACTAATTTCCTCTCAAAGTTTCTATTGGCTGGGATTATTCCCTAAGTTAAGGTTTGGGGTTAGCGTTAGTGATCAACATTGTACTAAAATTTTGTAAGGAATTTTTTTTGTTAGTGCCCAAAAGGGAAATTTTGAAATAAATGTGACTTCGAAAAAAAGCGATAGTTGTTTTGATTTCACGTTACACCTGATTTTGGCCAGAATCAGAAACTTGGGGAATTAGAATTAGAGTTTGGAACCGTTTAACCGTTTAAAAATTGCTCCATAATTTTGGGCGGAATTATGTTGGTCGCGAGCTGGAATTATTTTAATGCCGGCCAAATTAAATGTCTTATGATTTACATTGATTTGACCAATCAGAATTTTAATAATTTTTGTGTTACCTAGGTAAATTTCAATCGATTTAACGATATATGGAGGTGGTTTTTTATTATCATAAATAAAGGGTTTTAATCTATATATTATGAAGTTTAGTTGCGGCCTTAAAAACTTTTACTAATAGCATATGTTCAATTTTTGTATAAAAAATTTTTAGCATCCCTACACTTAAACGGTTAAACGATTAAGAAAACTTTTAGGCGGTTCCATCCCTAATTAGTACCATATGACATACCTTTTTCTATAATATATTTACAATACCGTGTAACATAAGCGCATAAATAGGCGTATACTTATACGTACTTATTTGTGATTAGGTGACTTAGTTTTAAATTTAAAAATAATTAAATAACTTCATGACAAAGTAAAAAAGGAAATGTTCTTATAACTACGTAAAAAATCAGAATCTGATGTAAGTCCGAAGCAAAAAAAATTAAAAAATTATATCGTTATAACGTATGTACTGTACATATAATTGTTCACTGACTGCCAATCATGCATGGGACCTAAAATAATCGATTTTCATTGGCGTAATCAACCGGACATTGCATAGACGTGCATTTACTTTGCTTAGTTAATATGAGTCCTCGCTGGACAATGTAAAAAAAGAAATTTTTCTTATATAGATCATAAGATCAGGTGTAACGTTGGTGTAATATGTGATCGAAGGGGTTTTCAGAAAATCGCTAGTAACTCACTAATAAACAGCATTTACATTTTAATAAAAAAAACTTCCTTGCAAAATTTAGTATACGTATACTGATAACCTTAGTTACGTTGTACCTTTCACGTGTTATTGCAGCATTGTGTAAATAAACGATCATCAAATGTTACATCTATCAATTTTTTCCTTTTTGGGTTTGTATCACAGACGAATAAGTGTAAATCGCATAAATAGAACCCTCACCATGCTTGCTTGCTGAAAGTTTTCTATAACTATGAGCAAATCGAACGTTCTTCGTGTTGCAACCTTTAATATTCGGTACGATGCCTATCGCGGCTTACCTGCTCCGTCTACAGAGAAAACTATGAAAACTTCTGGTGAGAAACCTTGGTCTAGTAGAAGAAGAAAAGTTGCCGATACCATACTATTTAATAGAGTTGATATTGTTGGTCTGCAGGTTGGCATATAAACACGAATTGATCAGGTTACGACCTAATGTTAATAACACGTTGCCTTTTGTATACTTTTATTTCCATAACAGGAAGTTCTTAAGAACCAACTTTCGGATCTTGAGACTTTGTTAGGCCAAGACTGGCAATGGGTTGGAGTGGGTCGTGAGGATGGGAAAGAAGCAGGTTTGTGCAAAAATAACATGAATTTAATTGGTGCTATTATTTATCG